CAGTGGATTCGAGTCTACAAATTTTTAAATTATACGTATCGAAACCGTAACTTGGAAGTTTCTTATGTTCAAGAATAGTTCGAAACACTCTGCTACCTCTTTAATAATAATATTTAAAGTAAACGACAATGACAATGACAGTAAGAAAAATCAGATATATTATTCTAATGAAAAAATCACAAAACCTTCTATCGAGATGTTACAACCCTGCCGATAATAAAATATACTACTTTCTTTTCCATAAACTGAACGGATGCACGTATATATGCGTGCAACTTTACTTAAACTGACTTTAAAGTGCTTCTTCAGCACTATAGTAACACGTATAATGTTTCATTTATAGTTTGTAAAGTATTTGAATGTTATTTTATTATTATTTCCGTGTAATTATCCTTGGTTATTCCGGAAGCATTCAGGACTGATGATTAATGCAACGATCAATAATTCTTCTAATTCGCTTCTAGAATTTTTCTCCTGTTCGTATCCAATATTTTTCAAGTTTTATTAATATCGTACAAACATGTTGTTTCCTTCGTTATCAGACCTTCTTCGCAATCCTTCAATGATACTGTTATACATCCATCGGTACTATTACTCCAAGTAATGCATCCAATCGCGAATGTAATCTTTTTCTTCTGATGTTTTCTTTGACTCTTGGCTCCGTATTATTCTCCCTCTTTGAATCCTAACACTTTCGTCGAGTTCAAAATATCTTCTGCACTCGACATAAAATAATCTTCGCTGACTTATGATCTTTTTATTTCTTAATTAGATTATCGTCTCTTTTTCTGTAGTTTTCACTAATTTGCTTATTCATTATCATTTCTTCCACATTATTTCTTGAACGAAACGAATGAACTTTCTCCCAATTATTTTCCATAATAGTTTCTTCGAATAAGAATAATCCAGGAAAATTATATGATATTCGTATTAACATTGCTCGACTCTCGTTTTTTTGGTACAGTATAGATCTTGAATTAAGATTGTGTAATTTTCCATTCTTCCATTTTAAATTGAATCTGTAGTTATCGTCGACGTATTTCTTCTCCTATTGCATTAGTAGCAGACAAGACAACACAAAATTTGTCCAGCCACTGTAACCGGACAAACGTGTGGTTCGCTCGGGATTTTTCAGACTTCTTATCTGCTCAAACGTCTTACGGCACATTCAAGATTTTCTCCATTATTTATCATTCGAATACATATACATATAACAAACTATTTCCACAGAATATCCTGTCAATCTTAACTTTCAAATTTTCAAATCAAACGTGTTTAACCGTTAAAGTGTAATCTGTTCTGGGTGATAACCGCTCGTTGTGTAAATACATTTACTTTCGTTCGGAAACAAATTAATGAAACAATTTAACAATCGGATAGAACCTTTCGCATACGCTTCGTGTCGTTAGATTACATTATACACTGAAGATAAAATAATCAGTCTCCTGTGTATCGTACATGGTGCACTGAATCAAGTTCATCAGACGAAAGAAGAGAAACTCGAGGAACATGATAGCAGCGATAAAAATACAACTAAAGTTACGCAAACGCGTGCGTATCCCACGCAACGAGAAAGTTGACTTCTTTTCTGTGAAGTATGAGTCATAGCCTCAGTTGCGGCAACATCCAAAATAGCGTCCCGGGTTTCATGTTCGTCAATTTTCCAATTTCCGCTTAATAATCCTACAGAGTATCTCCCAGAAATCTCGTAATCCTTTGTGCCAGCTATTTTTCTCTTTTTTCCACTATATTACTCGGTGAATTCACGAGAACGTATCTATCAATCAACATGGTCGAATCGAACGGGGTCCCATTTCCTCGATTCTTATTTGCGAAGAATGCGTAACACATCGCCACGAACGTGCCAAATGCATTGTAAATTCCCAAGGACATTTTTTTTTGTTCCAGCGATTGAAAGGTCCCATTCTGATATCTGGTTTATCGACAACGATTAAACGTGGCTAGGAGTTAATTCGGAATTAATTAAGGCTCGTCGCTGGGACGCACTTTCTTTGGATCGTTATCTATCGTTGGGCGTGAATGAACGAAAATAAATTGGTGGATATATCTACGCTTACGGATTTTTTTCCGTCGCCATATTGAATTCGTGCAAAAGAAACGGTAGCCGTACGCTCACCCAGGATTATCAGCGAAACCGCTAAACTTTCGAGATTCTGGCCACTTACCGAGCGACATGTTCACTTTTGCGTCAATCTCTGACATTTTTCCTCTCTTTCTATTTTCTATCTGTTTTTTTTTTACTAGAAAGACACGAGGATCGCGAACTCGATTACCCGAATTATCTTTCGAACGTCACCACTGATCGTACAAAATGACATCACACGACGCACCGAACCTAAGTGAATACAAACGGTGCATCGGCAGCAGGAAGTCATCGTCGCCCTGACCGGAAGTCACCGTTCATTTGACCAAGGAAATCGATAATAACGACCGCGAAAATTTTGAACTACTCTGAACCCTCTGAACTGAACTGGATTATTGTTAAATCCTTTCCTGAATAGTAAATCATTTTTCAATGAAAAATTACCTGCTTTTATTATTCTTCGCTCGTTACAGGTAAACATATGTTTCCGCTTTTGTAATTGTTTTAACCTTGTACACGTTATTCTCGTAATTATAATTGATCTTTCGTCACCGTTAATATTCTATTTATTTGTTCATTTATAAATAACCAACTAAACGTACTTTATGAATATAAGTAAGCTTCTATTAATAAATAAGATATTTCTTATCCAGCATACATTAACATTCGATATTAATGATTTGTGATGATTATCTAGATACACTCGGAGGTTAATCGAAGACAATCTATGGATTTGTCACATGTTTCTAATCACCGATAGAATATCTATTATTTAAACATGGAAGTTTTAATTCGTAGAGGAAATCGCGAAGATTGTAAACCTATAAGTAACTTGATACAAGAACTAGCTGATTTTGAGAATATGCCAAATGGACCAAAGATTGATTATACAAGTAATGATTTAATTATAAATATATTCAGTTTAATATTACAGAACAAGTCATAACATTGAATGTAAATGTGAAATAATTTTAGCATTAGAAAGAGATGGATTCGATACAGATCACCCATTCTTCATTTGCTTCGTTGCAGAAGTTGATAAAAATATAGTAGGATATGCAATTTTATATTACACGTATTCAACGTGGTGTGGTAAAGCGATGTACCTGGAAGATATATATGTGACACAAGAACATCGAAACAAGCATATTGGCAGTAAGCTATTAAAAGCCATAGCTAAGGTATAGACTTTCAAGTGTAAAATATTATTTTTATTACATTCATTTATTTTATATAATAGATTTATCGTTTATTCTATACGTGTAGGAAGCTGTAGACAACAATTGCTGCAGATTAGATTTTTCAGTTCTCAATTGGAACCCTGCGCAAGAGTTTTACAAACTTAAAGGTGCTGCAGACTTAACTGTAGACGAAGGATGGCATCATTACCGTTTTTCAGATATTGCTTTGAAAGCTTTAGCAACCGATATATAATCATTACTTTATTTATAAAGCTGGTTTTCTAATATACAGGAGACTTTTTAAACTCCCTGTATGTAATTACATATTCAATTGTTAATAAATATCCGAAGGTCTATTAGTTAATTAGTTATACCAGTAATAGCTTTAATATAAAAATGAGTAATAAAAAGGTAATCGATCGTGTATCAGTGTGAATTTAATGTAATCCTTGAAATTTAAAATCATTTTCATATTAATCGAGTCCTCTTGTTCTATTTTCGTTATAGCGTACATATCTCTTTTCTTCTACCGTGTCATTGCACGAATCAGCTGCAATTCCAGTTCCTACTTCAAAAGAAAAACTATGTAAGGAACACGTTGAAGATGTCTATGAAAGCGATTCCGATTTGCTATCGCATAGCGATATGAGCTGGGGTTCGTTGCAAAATAGATATGTGCCATACGAAATTTTATCCGACAAATTTACTTCATCGTCGTCGTCGTCATCTTCTTCTTCTTCTTCTTCTTCTTCTTCTGCACTTTCTTCTAGCTCGAGTGTAACTATTACTCAGTACCACTTTATCAATTGAAACTAAAATTTATTTTGTGCTGTAATGAAAATACTAAATTTGTTACTTTTTCAAGTCTAGTTCATCGATTGTACTCGATCACATGCCAGTGCCGACAAATATAGATGCAATGCATTGTGCAAGTGAAAACAGTTGGAGTAGTTTCGCTTTAGATGCTAATGCATGGGATGACGATAAAGCACCTGTTGTACAACTACGAAATCTGAAAGAAGTATTATTCGACGATTTAGAATTCTGTGGATTTTTAACAGACAGACTAGTAGGAATTGCATCATCATTTTTGGCTAAATCTCCAGAAAATGGCCTTTATGTTTTAAACAAATGTGTCATGAGAAATATGGTACTTGATCGCCTCTATTATTAAAAAAACATTCTTTTGGTAAAGATCATTTTCTTGCAGTCTATTTCAAACATTACAATGTTACATTTTCATCGTTATTTGAGATACATTGATCTCTCGTATAATTATATTTCAAATTTATCTGCTTTGGGAAAAGTCCCTTATTTAATGCATTTAAACCTGGCGCACAATAGAGTGAGCATTATTTTAAATTTTCAACCACCTTGGTACTTAACTTATGTAAATTTAGCCTACAATTATGTATCGGAAATGCGCGATATCAGTTCCTTTTGGAGTATCGTACACCTGGATTTATCGCACAATGCAATTGAAGTAATTAATGGCTTACATAATTTAAAGTTAGTATATTCGCTTCGTACTCGGAAACAAATTGTTCCCATGTGATGATACTTCTACATGGTATTTTTAGATATCTCAAGTATTTGAATTTGTCTTATAATTTAATCGAATGTATCGAGAATTTGGATAAACTGAATATTCAAGAACTCAATTTGGAAGGCAATTGTATAACATCATTCAAATCTGCTATACCCAATTACAACATAAACACTTTGCCTCATTTACGAAAAATATATTTAGGATATAATAAAATATCTACCTTGGAATTTTTTAAAGTAATAATCCTCGTAAAATTGCGATTAATTCATCCATTGTTAAAATAACTAAAACGTGAAAATTTGATTTAGGATGGATACAGTTTACGTGTAATAGATCTGAAATTTAACAGAATCTCCGATTTACTGGAATTATCGAACTTCAAAGGTTTCATAGATGAAATAGACCTCAGAGGCAACGGTTGTACAAAGTGGCCTAATTACAAAGCCGTACTTTTATTCTCCGTACCAAGTATACAAAAAATTGATGGTATTCCTGTGCTTACTTCCGAAAAAGTATGTAATTAAAAGAGATGAAAGATATTATCTAATGATAGTGAGGAAGGTAATTTAATAGATTGTTGCAGCAACCCTGTTTGCATCGCCAGTGAACTTAACGGCAGCCCGTACTGTAACAAAATTAACTTTATTAGAACAATTAAATACACCCACTATTGATCTGCATGTTTTACCATACGATGAAGCTAGCCCACCGTTATTGGTACTTACAGGTCCATCAGCAGTGAAAAAGATATCTTTAGCCACTCATGTTGTTCTAACACTTTCAAAAAAAGTAATTTCGTAAACGTACATAAATATATGGGATTAATAGGTTTAAAATTAGTTCCAAATCGATTTCGGATTTCAGATCAAATATTGTTCATGGTATACCACGAAGGAGATAGGAGAGAGCGAACTGGAGAAACAATCGTACATTTTTGCGGATAGAGAAGAATTTAATGACATGTCTCGTCGCGGAGAATTTTTGGCAATTCAAGAAATGTTAGGGAACAGTTATGGGTTTCGTTAGTTCGAAATATTGGATTTTATATACAATACTCTTCACCCGACTATGTATCATTTACAATTCCCCTCGGCATTTAAACAGATCACAATCAAATCGCTTCGTTAATACTCGAGAAGAAAATTGGTATCACTCAAATGGATTTACACGCAACTATACAAATGTGTAAAAGATATTCCAATACCAAACCAATTCTTGTATTAACAAAAAGTGAACAAATCCATCGTAATTGGGTACAGGAGAAGTTCGATGTTTATACATGCGTTAAGGATAGCACAGACTGTTTGCAAACTGAAAGCAATAGTATAAACGAGAGTACTACAGAATCTAAAGAAACCGTCGAAGATAGTTTAAGCGATGTACAGATAATGTATTTCTATATCTTTCAAGTAATATCGTTCCAACTACTGTCAAACAGAACTTTTCTTCTTTAGGTTCTAGATAGCTCTCAATTGTCTGTAGAAGCAGAAAGTAAAGACATGGCTTATACACGTGAAAGTAACTTATCGCTACCTATGGACGTTTCATCGAAAAAGGAGCTGGAAACCGAGGAAAAAAAATACATAAAATTTCAAGGAGAACAAGAAGAACTTAATCACGCACTTACAAAGTTTCTCGATCCAACATTCAATGCGACGTTAGACGAAGAAAATGATTTAAGGGTATAAAATATTTAAAAATCAATAATATATGTACCATACGACATATGATGTATGGATATATTATACGATTAAATAGGTAATATTGGATAAAGGATTGACTGTCATAGAAGAAGATGAAGCTACAAAACGAAAAAGACATCAGGCGAAACTCCTGCAACGTAGGAGTACGTTAATACACGGAGAACCATTTACCGTAGATAATTTAAGCGAATCTGTGTCAAGTGAAGGAACATTATTTGATCAAGTTGGTATTAAACACTCCCTTTTCCAGCTTGATATTAATGTTAATGTAATACCGCTTCAAAATTTGTTTCAAGTTTCTGATGGAAACAAAAAATCCGGAATACTTAAAGGAAATGTATACCGATCTTGTAATGAAAACAAGAACAATGTACTTAAACCAACACCTAAATAATCCAGGATTCTTTTCTTTAGTGGTATCAGTCACGATCACTATCAAAATTCAATTGAAGTTACAAAATTGATTATACATATGTAATGAGATTTTAATATTTTTCATAGTTGCTGACGGATAATTATAACGAGGCTTTCAATAATCTCATCAATTTCATTTATAAATCGTATATGGGCTATTCCACTGAAAAGCCAAAGTTTTTCACTGAAATTAATCACTTTTCCCAAGTGGCTATTCCCTCAATGATTGATACTGTAGTCGAAAAAATAAGACAGTAAGCATATAAATACGACGAACATTAATTTTATGTTTGCTTTCATGTATGAATTTGTAGGTCATTATCAACGTCAAAGTTACAAACGAAAACGTGGTTAAGAACGTACGGCATTGCATCGTTTAAAAAATTAATGCCCAGTCAAATGACACAAGATGCAAGAACATGTACCGACGATTAATTAGAAGTGTATGATTCATTGGTGTGTAGAAATGAATTACATACAGGATGAACAGATTTTTCCAAAAATACTTCTGTACAAGGAACTATCGGTTAAGAGGTAAGTATCTGAAATATATGTATGCAAAAATACATACTTTAGATTAGATTTCTATTTAAAATTGATGTTATCTGTTGGCTCTATAATCACTTGTAAACTTGCATTATAATTTGTACTCTCCATAGGTACTTCCTGATTATTAAACGTAACAGTGAAGGAACTCTCGTCGACTTTAGATACAGGATTTTGTAGAAACAAAAATTTCTTTTGATTATCGGTATGTTTCGATTCAGATTGACTTATTTGAATCCGTGGTTGATGTAACATATTATTCTTAGAATTCACGTTTTTCGATAATTCATTCGATTCTGGTTGCAATAAAGAAACCGAATACGAGTTCTCAAGATCCGATTTATCGTTTATATCTGTGTGCTGTTTTAAGTGGTCGTGCAAACTGTGTTTTTGCTCAAATACCAGATTGCAATGATTACATCTGAAAATGAAGTAGTAACGATATACATATAAAATTAAAATGTACACTCTTATTAATTTACATACGTACTGGTATCGTGTCTCGTTAGTTTTCTTTATTTTATTTTCAAATGGATAATGAACTTTTTGGTGTGCAATTAAATTGTATCGTTCGGCAAAACGTTTTCCACATAACGTACAAGTGTACGGTTTTTCACCAGTATGAGCTCGTACGTGTCTTTTTAAATGAGACGTCGAAAGTAAAGATAAGTCACAAATCTGTAATAAAAAAAGAAAGGCTACTGAATTTATCTACAAATGAGAAAGAAACGAGTGATGGCAAATATTACTAACATGGCATTTATACGATTTTTTCCCACTATGTGACAATTTGTGCATATTATAAGACGTGTGATGAATAAATCTTTTACCGCATAATTCGCATTGATAACGTGTTTCACCAGTATGCATCGGCAAATGCCTCATAAGCGCTATTTTTTGTGAGAATGATTTACTGCAGAAATTACATTGAAATGGATTAATCCCATTGTGCATTCCCACGTGTATTTCTAACGCATGTTTATGCTTGTACGCCTGACCGCATTTTTCACACATATAAGGTTTTAACGAAGAATGAGTTTTTATATGTATTTTTAATTCGGCAGGTGTCCTCCATTTTTTACCACAAATAGAACAAGAATAGTTTAACGACTTTAAATTAAATTTTGATGTTTTTTCTGATTTTACAGGAACTTTTATGCGATCGACTATCAGTACTATGTACAAACAAAGATTTAGGTAAGTGAAAATATAGCATTTAAAATATAATTAACGAATCCATTAAGCGGACAGAAATCTTTTTACCTGTTTTGCACTCTGTATTTTCTTTTAACTCTGTTGCACTTTCATCCAATTCTTTCCATTTCAATTCAACGGATGCTGTAATATTTTGTACCTCTAACTTATTGTCGGAGAACAGAGAATTAGTTTTTATCGAGGTCTTTACTTCTCCTTCAGAGTCAATCAAAGAAAAGCAATTCCTTCCCTCTGTGTTCGAATCTAGCGTACGCGCGTTTACTAAGGGTATTTGAAAAAATGTTATTAATTTAGTTATTTAGATAATTTTTTTATATTTATATATAATCGAGAACAATATATTTCATTACCTTTGGAAGAACTGACATCGTACACACGATTGTCGGTAATTAGTGCTATTGAATTGCAGATTGTATCGTTTCTTAGAACCTGCTCTTTTTTCAAATTATTATGACTATTATTATCATAATTACTTGTACTAACTTCTTCATCGGAGTCTGCTAAGTTTTGTTTAGGTACTTTTGACTTCTCTGCGGTCTCAATAGCATAATTTAAATTTGAAACATTTGTCGCTTGATTCGTTATTTTATCCTGAACGCATTGTTGCTTATCCGATTCTTTAATTTGAAAACATTGCAAGTTTGGCTCTTCTTTAGAATATTCATTAGCATTATTTAATGTTAATTTATTCGTTTTTGAAACTGTGCTGGTGGTTGGATTTCTATCATTATTTATCACCTGTTTCATGCTTTTTCTTTTCTTCGCAGCACAATATATCTTCAATATTTCACAGCGTATATTTAAAACAGTGTTTTGTGCTTGTTCCAACATTTGGAACAAATTATAACATTGCGAACAGATGTACGAGTCGTTTAATTCTGGAAAAGTCGTACACAATACTTTTGATATAAAATTTGCCAATAATTCGCCATTCCGAGGAAGAGATGTACGAAATATATTCACGTACGATGAAACATTGAGAATCATTTTGCATACCAAACAACGTGAATTAGACACAGACATTGTTCCGTACGGTTACAGTTTCATTGGAAGTTGCTTAGAATTTGATATTACTTTATTATAAATAATAAGTAAATGCGTGACCATTTCATTCCATAATTGTAAGTTACTCTTCGAAATTGCATGTCAAGCGTAAATTTCACCTTATTTTGCTGGTAATTTATAGAAATGTTAATTACGCGTGTACACGCATATAACGAATAGTTTGATCAGAGACGAGGTACAGGGTAGACACGACACGCGGTATAAAATTTTGTCGTACGCTTCCGGGGGTCCTGGGACCCCCTTGCCATTTTCGTGTCATGCCCTGTAATACCGACTCGGGCTGGTTTTGCATGGCAGCGCTGTACACCAGTGACGGGAATTGGAACGAAAAATATCGAAACGCAGACTTCGGATATACGATTCAGGCAGAGTTGGTAGTGTGTCAGTTGGGGTATTTCGCGCGATGTCGGTATTTCAAAACAGTAGACAGAGAAGTAGATTGTATGCGCATCTCGATATGCGCAGCTGGCCAATCGGTGCTACACCGTTGCCGCCAGATGGCGTCACTATCCACTTTTCGAAGACGGTTTCCTTCTTTACGAAATAATTCATTATTCTATTATTCGAAAGGTTTTTCTTCTTTTCCATTAAAATGCATTACCGTGACACGTTCTTCGAAAGCAACTGCCGTCATGTAGCGATTTCTGGTCTCTGTAATCATCTTGCAAAAAGAAAAGACAATTGTTTGAAAGGTACGCAATTGCGCGTGCTACCGGTGGTGTCGGTTGATTCGGTTGATCAATTAGTTGAGAACACTGCGATCAGAAATAGAACGAATAACGCGTCTAAGCAGGTAGAAATCTTGTTTGGGATCGATTCCAAGGAGTAAGTCGAATCGGAGGAATTCTGCGTGAATGGAAGAGATGAAATGTTCGTATTAATTTGTAGGTAAACGCAGAAAGGGCAGAAAAGAATCCGTAAAGAGAGAATCGAAGGAAATCGGTTCGACGAAGGAGTAAAACGACTAAAATATTCCCCGAACGTATGCGTTCGAACGAATGGCTGGGTCGCCGAACATGAAAAAACGAGGTGTGTATTACGCGGATAGAAATAGAACGATGGAATTTGCACTAAGGACGTTTCGTTGAGCTGGCTTCGCGCAACTTGGCTGGTCAACGTTGGTCGAAGATGTAGCTGGCACGCTATTTATATCTGTTTATTAAATGCGAATCCGAAATACGCACGTAACAGTTTGAAAGCGTCTCGCCGAAATGTTTCTTGCACGTTTCTATCTTACGGATCGATCGCGTACGGTCTAACGGTTAATATCCGAATGATTCGACGACGAAACGAAACGCGCAAAGTATGGGATTCGATGGGATTGCGATTAAACCACGAGTAGGCTGGTAAAACCATTGAATCGTCGACAAGGCGATGGCTCGGAATCATTACGAGATAACTTCGAAGCGACGCGAAGCCGAGGATATAAGAGGCCGTCGACCGTATTTGCGTCACTAAGTCTCTATCGTTCAGAGAAACGGCGTCACGTTTTTCTAGAAACGCATCGGTGTTTAACGGATTGTGCGTTTCTCGCGATCATTCGAGAAACTAAAAATTAACGTGTATACACAGGCTTCATCGGTGTGACGCTATCAGAATGGTAATTATTATTTCGAAATCGTTAAGATGTTTGATCCGAGAAATAGACTACTGGGTTGCATGAATCGGTGTGTATGGGAGTATATTGTTTCAGCGCGAATGCATATCCATTCACGTCGGTCAAGCTGGCGTGCAAATTGGAAACGCCTGCTGGGAGTTGTATTGCTTGGAACACGGGATACAGCCGGATGGTCAGATGCCGACGGATAAAACGTTCGGAGACGATAGCTTCAGCACTTTCTTCAGTGAAACGAGCGCTGGGAAGCATGTACCTAGAGCGGTATTCGTCGACTTAGAACCTACAGTGGTTGGTAAGAGAACACGAGAAAATCAGAAAAGAAAGAAAAGAGAGGAAAGATGGAAAAGAAAGAGGAGAAGGGAAGGAGAAAGAAAAGATGGAAAAGAAAGAGGAGAAGGGAAAGAGAAGAAAACGATCGAAGGAGAATGATCAGTGTTGCGATGTGACGATTACTTATGTTTGCAGATGAAGTACGAACGGGAACGTATCGGCAACTGTTTCATCCGGAACAATTAATCACCGGAAAAGAAGATGCAGCGAACAATTACGCACGCGGCCATTACACGATCGGCAAAGAAATCGTCGATTTGGTGATCGATCGTGTACGGAAATTAGCGGACCAGTGCACCGGACTGCAAGGATTTTTAATCTTTCATTCGTTCGGAGGGGGCACTGGCTCGGGCTTCGCCTCCCTCTTAATGGAACGTCTTTCCGTCGACTACGGAAAGAAATCGAAATTGGAATTTGCTATTTATCCGGCTCCGCGAGTCTCCACCGCGGTCGTGGAACCTTACAATTCCATACTCACCACTCACACGACCCTCGAGCACTCGGACTGCGCTTTCATGGTGGACAACGAAGCGATATACGACATATGTCGACGCAATCTCGACATCGAGAGACCAACCTACACCAACTTGAACAGACTGATAGGTCAGATCGTGTCCTCGATAACGGCTTCGCTGCGATTCGACGGCGCGCTGAACGTCGATCTGACGGAATTCCAAACGAATCTGGTTCCCTACCCAAGGATTCACTTCCCTTTGGTCACCTACGCCCCGGTGATATCGGCCGAGAAAGCTTACCACGAGCAACTTTCGGTGGCGGAAATCACCAACGCCTGCTTCGAACCAGCGAATCAAATGGTGAAATGCGATCCTCGCCACGGCAAATACATGGCCTGTTGCATGCTCTACAGAGGAGACGTAGTTCCGAAGGACGTGAACGCCGCTATCGCCGCCATCAAGACCAAACGCACGATACAGTTTGTCGACTGGTGCCCAACGGGATTCAAAGTCGGTATCAATTATCAACCGCCCACAGTTGTACCCGGCGGCGACCTAGCGAAGGTACAGCGAGCAGTCTGCATGCTAGCCAACACCACGGCCATCGCTGAAGCCTGGGCACGGCTGGATCACAAGTTCGACTTGATGTACGCCAAGAGGGCTTTCGTTCACTGGTACGTTGGCGAAGGAATGGAGGAAGGCGAGTTTTCGGAAGCTCGCGAGGATCTTGCAGCACTCGAAAAGGACTACGAAGAAGTTGGCCTGGATTCGGTCGACGTCGACGTGGACGCAGACGCAGACGCTACCGACGAATATTAACACTCGCCCCTATTCTCGTTTCTCAGCACACATTCGTGTTCACCCGGCGAGAACGATCGGGGCGAGATTCTCTAGAATTCTGGCCGTGCAAACGAGATCTGGAACGAAACGGAACGTATCAGTATCGCGCGAGGCGTATGTAACGTATACGAGCGGCGGCGATTCTCACGACTTTCAGACGTAATTTTGTTTTATTGCATTACACAAACGGGGGCTGGGAAGGCGAAATTAAATAGCGGATTAAATACATCAGCGCGACGCCTTAACAAATTAAAAACGTAAAAACATTAACAGTACAATATAGTTCCTTATCATAGACATAATGCGATGGCAGTCTTGAGTCCTGGAAAGATGCTGTGATTGTTGCACAATTAGTTTTACTTCCGATCTTCTATTTCCTATTTTCTATTTCCTATTTCCTATATTCATTCGTCTTCTAGATACGCACTCTTGATTCGCATTGCGATCTTTGACTCTTCTGTCTCGCGTTGTCATCGTTATTCGGTTTCACTCCTTTGCGTTTGCGTTTGTGTTTGTGTTTTTCTCTTCTTTCTTCCTTCTTTTACTTAATTATTTGCAATAAGCTTTTGTTCGTGGCAGTGTCTGTGAACGAACAAAGAAGGAAAGCAATTAATGCGAGTCGTGAAGCGAGGAAGGGAAACGGAAGGATAAGAAAGGAAGAGAAAAAGGAAGGATAACGGATACGTGTATGCGATTTAAATGTCTCTCGATCGAACAAACACTTTCGAGGTGGTACAGAAATGAGTATTTCGTGTAAGATTCAAGACGCCCGTGAATGACAACACGATTCATACCGCTGCAGCAACCATGACAAACTCTAACTAGCGGCTAAGAAGAACGAGTTCTAAGTTTACTGCGTCTATGCGAATTACAATAGCGTCAGCTCGTCTACGCTAAGATGAAAAATGCACAGACGTAGAAACCTCCATCCTACCTTTTCTTACTTTGCAACGTCTTCTCGGTAATTCCAAAATATAGGAACGAACGGTAATGGTCGCGAGCGAACGGTTTCCAACAAACTCTGTTAACGGACACGCCGCGCCATTTCTTTCAATCTTTAGATCGAGGAATCGTTGCGCAACTGTCTCCGATGCGATTCACGAGACTCCTCGGTCGCTCGGTACGGTACAAGTTATTCAGATGCAAGATCGACCGATCGATCGTTCGAGAATCAAAGAAATCACACTTGAAATTTTCTGACTTTAATATACGTACCAAAATTAGGACTACCTACGCCTCGAGTGGCTTCTTCTTTTCTTTCTTCTTCTTTAGGAATGACGGTGTCCTGAGGCCTTTTTTCTTCTTCTTTTCCTTCTTTGGCGATTCCTCACTAACGCTCACATCCTGCGACACGGAACCCTTAACACGGAAGGTCCCAACCGTAACCATAAACCTTTATGCATGCACATGCAAACAGCCAATTT